CCTCCCTCCCTCTTCCTTTCTTTGAGTCAGGGTCGCTTGTATACCAGGTTACCCAGAACTCACTATGTAGCAGAGGCTGACCTTGAACTTCTGATCCTCCCACTAGGATCAAGCTGTGTTAACACTCAGTATTGGATTTTGTGTATGCTAGGTAAGCACTTTACCAACTTTATTCCCATGCCCCATCTTTTTTTATGAATTATATAGTAAGACCCTGTCTCAAACAATTGAATAAAAGCCCAAATGTTGAGCTTTTTTTCAATCAATTAAAGTAAAAAACCATTAAATAGCTATAGGATCATCATCCAGAAGATGACTTATTCCAGAACAACCTGTTGGCCCACAGAGGCTTAGAGCACAGATAGTCTTGTCCCAAACACCCTGTCCCCTGTGTCCTCACCTGCTTACTGTTAAATTTTGTTTCAATGTTAAAATGATATTTATTCATGTATACATGTATGTGGGCACATATGTGTGCAGGTGTACATGTGTCACAGTGCCCTTGTGGAGGAGGCAGGGGGCATCCTGCAGGAGTTGGTCCTCCCCTTGTACCACCTGGGTCATGGGGATCACAGTCAGGTGGTCAAGCTTGGTGGCAAGTGCTCCAATCCACTGAGCCATCTAACTGTCCTCCGAGTTTTATAAAGTTTAGTGGAGTGGAGGACCTAAGCCAGGTCCTCACTCTGAGCACGAGGACCAGTGATTCTGAGCCTGGTGCTTTTGAGCACACCCATCACCCTCAGGGATCCTCCTGGCCAGGACCTGGTTTCCATCTTTAGTCAAAAAGCTCACCTTCTTGACTCCCTCGGACATCACATGGGTGCTGGGCGTTCGGAAGTGGATGTTGAGCACGATGACACATATCACCACAACCATGGTGACCAGGACCATGCCGAAAAGCAGGAACCTGAGGACACACACCGGGCCTGGAGCTGGGGACTGAGGGCAGAGGCATGAGCAAGGCTGGCACGGGGAGGGCTATGTATACTCACTTGCCTACTAAGGGGATGGCCATGGATGTGGGTGGCAGCCTCTTGGAGATAAGCAACAGGAAGACAGATTGGGCCAGGAGCACCGAGATGGCCACTGAGGTCTTCTCTCCACCTGGGAGACAGACCTAGCTGGAAGCTCATACTTGGAGTTTACAAGGTCCCCCTGAAGTGGACGCTGCCACCAATGTTCACAATGTCATGATACATATCATAGGATATGGCATCCTGTGTCTAGCTTTAAATCCTGGCTACACAGCTTATTAGCTGAGTGTTCTGAGAAAGTAGCCTGAACTCAAACTCCCTGCCTCTTTCTCAAAACATGGCAAGCATAGCACTGGTTAAGTGATCAACACTGACTGTTATGTGTCCCCTGCCCCTGCCACTCAGAAAGCTCTCAGGCATCCTGGTAGAGCCCTAGCATGCAGTTCCTAACCCAGAGACCAGCTAGGCCTGCCTGCCATTCCTGCCTGAGTTCTTATATGCTATGTCATCCATGGGCATTTCTCCCCTCGCCGTGAAGAGCAAGGGCAGGGCTGGGAACACCTGTGCTAGGTGGCCTTGGGAGAGGCTGTCAGGGAGCCAGGGAGTGGGGTACGAGGCTCACAGTCGCCCGGCAGGTAGAAGACCAGGTTGAT